TGGGAAAATGACACACATGTCTATATATGCATTCAGCGATGTATGTTATATATTTGCGTATTAACAAGTAAGATATGCTTCTTATGGAAACTATTACCATTCCAGGTAATAAAACTGACGTTTGCGTATTTTAATCTATTGCGACAAATGGCATAATAATATGCACCAACAATAAAACCTGAAATTGTAAAATTTATAAAATATAAACATTTGCACAAATACATTGCATATCATTTTTATATCAACATCTTCAGATTGTGTAAAAACTATAAAATTATTAATTAATAGCTGTCATTATAAATTTTATGTTTTAATGGTGCAGCATTTTATTAGATTTCGTTGGTGTCGATTGTCGAAAATTGAGATATATTTACTATCATCTAAGTACCCTTTCCTTCCTCGATCATTTCTTCGATCGTTTCACTCTTGATTCATTTGATTGTCGCACAAGCAAAATCGAAATATGTCTCACGTCAATAGAATGTTTCGGCACTGTGAAACTTCACGGGGCTGAAAATGACACCTTCAAATCTCCAAGTATGAGCGTCCACCTTCCAACTTTTGATGATAATGAAATAACACGTGCTTCTGTGCTCAAAATATGCACGAACTCTAATATATGAAAATCTTACAGCAAAACATATAATATAAAGGAAGATATGAAAGAAATATTTGTCTTGGCGTATCTCAAAAGATATATTCCAAAACCTAATGCCACCAAAAGAAATGTCTCGTGAATTGAATTCTATATCAACCGCATGCAAATCTTTGCTATTGATTTGCTATAAGAGACAATGAACTCGCTAGGGATTGCAATGCGTGCACACTGTGCGTTTCCATGGAGAGCTATTAGCAATTCCCCACCGTACACAATTGCATTAAATTTCATCAAACGAACACTACGGTAAACGAATCGATCGATATAGAATATCTGAGCAACTCCGCGCAAGCGTTGCACAAACTCAATGCACCAACTCCATTCAAGTAGAATATTCGATTCAGTCGTTCTCATAACTTCGTCGAGTGACCGCGATGACAGAATTTACAACGGTCGAGGGCAATTCTCGCAGTCTCGGCGACTACAGCTTGCAACTGAACCGATGGTTCCTGAAACCGATAGGAGCTTGGCCACTACCATCCGCGTCTACCTCGAGACTCGAAAGAATTGTTTCCTTGATTCTAAACTTCCTCTGTTATTTTTTCGTGCTGTTCACCGTAATCCCCTGTCTGTTTTATCTCTGTCTGGAGGACGAGAGCGTTCCCGTTAAACTGAAAACGCTCGGCCCTTTCAGCCACTGGTTCATCGGCGGGATTAATTACACCACGCTGTTGCTACGAGGCAAAGAGATGCACAGCTGTATAAAACATGTACAGAACGATTGGAAGATCATAACCAGGAAGGAAGATCAGAAAGTGATGGTGAAATACGCCAAGATTGGACGGTTTACAGCAGCTTTCTGCGCTGCGTTCATGCAAGGTGGTGTTCTGTCGCATTGTACCATCTCGGCGTTTACCAAAGAGGTCATCGAGGTCGGGAATGAAACGCGGACACTGCGCGTGTTGCCTTGCATCTCGTATAAAAAGTTAATTCCAGTCGACACCAATCCAACGAACGCGATCGTGCTTGCCTCGCAATTCGTGTCCGGATTTATCGTGAATTCGAGCGCAGCTGGCGCCGTCAGTATCGCCGCTGTGTTCGCGGCTCACGCGTGCGGCCAACTGAGCATCATGACCACGTGGGTGAACGAATACGTGACTCGATCGAAGAATCGTAATACTAACGTCGGACTGAAGGAGATCGGCAAGATCGTCAGACATCATCTCAGGATTCTCAAGTAAGATTTATCGACAAGTTTTTACAACGTCACCTGTCGACGAGTGGTTTCTAACATATTGTAACTGAATATTGAATGCAGTTTTGTAACAGGTATCGAAAACGTGATGACCGAAATATGCTTTATGGAATTGTTCAAATGCACGCTGAACATATGCATGCTTGGATATTACATTCTTACGGTACGTTTCTTTTCGAAACTAGATATTTTCCCTTCAACGTTTCTACCTTTCTCGCTTGGATGATGTAGAGTTAAAATTTGCCTGAGAAACGAAACGATTAGTTGAATTAGACGCGCGTTATCTTTTGTTCAGGAATTGAAAAATCATAATCTCCAAATTACGGCTGTGTACAGTGTGATACTTTGTTCCATGATTTTCAACATTTTCATCATATGTTACATTGGTGACACGCTAACGGAAAAGGTAACAAACATGCAAGTAACGTAACTCTTCCAGACGTAATAAAACATTTTGAACAAAAAATTCCTGACAAGCAAGTACACACTTGATCTGTTAATGTATAAAGTTGTAAAAATTAATTAAAATATAATTAATCGAAAATATTGTTTATTATTAATACTATATATTATATCTGTCCGAACGATAATAATTCACGTGTCAAAATGTTTTATCCTTTTGGAAAATTATAATATACTAATCCAGCATAACCAACTACAAAATTTCTATTTAGTGTAAAAACGTTGGAGAGGCAATTTATATGACAAATTGGTATTATTTACCTTACAAGGATATACTCGATCTGGTTCAGATAATCCTGAGATCCAGCATGGTGATTAAAATCACTGCTGGTAAGCTAGTTCATATGTCCATATTCACATTTGGCAGTGTAAGTTATCTATTTGTACACATTCACGTGTATTCACCAATTACTGTGAAAATCTGATATCATTCCAGGTAATGAAAACAGCTTTCGCCTATTTGAACCTGTTGCGGCAAATGACGTGACAAAATATACACTTGACCTGTTAATGAACAAAGTTGTAAAATTTAAAAATATATAATTAATCGTAAATACCGTTCATTATTTTCGTATTACATCTGTTCGAACGACAATAATTCATGTGTCAAAATATTTATCATAATTATCGTTTTGGAGAATTATAACACATTAAATCAGCTTAATCTAACTACAAAATTTCCATTCTACTACTAAGTATTTGCGATGCAAGTATTAACAGTGGTACATGGAAGTTCGTGGATAAACATAACTTACCCTAGTTGTGATCCTCGAATTTTTAAAAAATTTCTTACGTTCTAAAATATATTTTAATATACGTGAAAAAGGAATCATATTGACGACGGTCCTTCCGACTTTGCACAAACTTAAAAAATTTCGTCACGTTCGACAATCGTGTCGTGTCGAACCATCCGAATCGATCACGAGTCCATTGAGCCTTACATTTATGAAAATACGCAATTTTCTGCTGTTAAAAACAGAGAATAAGGGCTGATTTCCACTCGTGATTCTATAACGAGTTACTTTTAAACATCTCGATGTACACGCACCACGTTTCCACCAACAGCATCCTGTCAACAAAGACAAGACGTAAGAAGTCATTCCTTTTGGGCCTCTATTATTATTAACTCCAGTACCACTAGCATTTTCAGCCTCGCAGCTGTTTTACCTGCTCACGCACTTTGTCAGCTGAACGTAGTTATGATATGTATTACTAAATTCATAGAAGGAGAGGAAGACAGATGATTTTAAAGAATGATTTTAAGGAAATGGGAGTTACCGAGAAGATTAAATGTTAATTGCAATTTTATAAGTCATGTCGAGAATGAGCTGAATAAAATACTATATCTTTTATATATTCTGCTGATATATATATATTCGATATACTTTTATCCAGTATCATACTATTATATACGTAATGTCTTGAAAAAAAAAAATTAGTGCATTTGTTATGGAATTTAATATTAATCAGGTCGAAGTATACTGTACTTCATACTTCATTTAGTACTTTCATATAATTGCAAAAAATTAATAGTAAATTAATATGAAAATGAAATGTATTGAATATAAATATTGCTAATATTTGTTGCAGCTACTCCAAATTTATTTTTGTATATAGTTACCTTATTTCCTTGTTTTTTAGGAATGAATAAATCAGAATACTCAAAATCTCACTACATTCACTATCATATATATTTCAATCTATTTCAATATTTTCACAACATATTATACACATAGGTGAAACATTGACCATTAATGTCATCGTTAGAAAGAGGTATTTAGTACATGCAGTACTTTATACAAGCAATTTGAATAGTGATAACAATTAATTGAACAAATTCCCAACAAAATAGAAAAATTAACGAATTTGTTTATGTGACAGATTGATTATTTACCACAAAAGAAAATCCTTGAATTGTTTTTAATCATTGGTCAAGTGTGGTCATTGAAATTACTGTAGACGGGACAATTCACACATTTGCGTTCGAAATTTAACCACAGTGAAATAATTCATATTCCCAAACATTTCATAAATCTCCAAAAAAA